TTACAAAATTAAAAAAACATCAAAACCTTGACAAACAAAATTCTATTTCATATTTCTTTAACAAACCAACTTTTATAATTTTCCTAAACATAACCTGGTGCCCCATATAGAATTATGTTATCTGGTATTCCAGATGTTCATTTAAAAAGGAAAATGCCTAGGTTTTATAATGATGCCAAATGTTATGTGATTTTAAAAAAAGGTGCTTCGGCAGCCAGCAGAGAAAAAAGGTTCATTTTCAAAAGAAATTAAGAGAATTAGAAATAAAAAGACAAATTCTGAAAACCTCTTAGAAAACTTAGATTTTACTTGTCAGGATAGCTGGACATTATGTACTAATCTTAATTACGACAAAAATCAATATTGACACATTTTTGCACAGCAGCCTGTGTTCATCCTGACTCATTCTGCCACCGTGGGTCACATTTAAACCTATTTCTCCCCAGACATTAACCCCAATAACATCCATTAACATGAACGTCACAGCTCCTGCTCACATCGGCTCTGATGTGGACGGAACATCACTTGGGTCAGTAATTTATGTTGAATGATTCCTGAACTTGCGAATGACTTGTTTACAAGCCGAAGTTTGTCATGTGGAAGCTGTGAAACTTGCAGGAGAAGCAGTCTGCAGAGCATCAAGCAGCCCACTCTCAGTCCTGTGGCTGAGGGCCACTTTCTGATTGTCCAGAGCAAAATAATAAACAAGTTTTTCCAAAACATCACATCAAAAAGTGTGGCTTGTCAACGCCTTTGGGCAAGTTGATTGCCATTTCTTCCTGTTGTCTGCAGGTTGTTCCCTGGCAGAAATAATTGGAACATATTGTACAGATACATAACCAGGCTGTGACTGGCAAGAGGAGAAAACATTGTTTCACAGAATGCATCTCTGGTAGAAAAACAAATAAGGACTACACTTATGCACCAGTGTTGGTGTTAAAGCACAGTTAGGCACGTTGTGTTTGGATGATTTGTAAGTTTCCCACTGCCTGATCAGTGGATTAGATGAACTGTTTCCAAAATGCCCCTGAATGATTGGGCTAATTTCCCAGACTGGAGGAGATGAGTTGGGTCAGGCCCCCTCTGCCTCGCTTACTCCTTCCTCCGTCAGGTGATGGAGAGCTTATATTTGCTGCTTCTTTAGAAAAAGAAAACAAACTGCGGAGGACCGGAAGAGGAAAGTAATGAATTAAGGCTCAAGCATTCTAATTCTTGTGAGCGAAGACTCTAAGCCCCCCACCCCGACTCCTATTTAATCGGATGTAATCTACCTGCTTGGCAGCATTCCAATCAGATAGTTTCAATTATGCTCTTGTAATGCCACTCTGCGAGGAGGGGGAAAGTGCTGAGCAGAGCACTTTGCAGGCGATTTGCAAATAACAGCAAGGGAGTCTTTTAGAGAAATGACTGAACAGGAAGCCAGAGAGCTGCTCCAGTTGACAGCTCTCTCACTCTTAGGTTTGCTGGTTTTTGGCGGTGATGCTGTGTTTTGCATCCCACCTCCTCCTCTCCATGACAGCAGCTGTCGGGACAGTAAAGTGCCACTGAAGGTGGCCTCCTATGGTAATACGGAGGTAATTATTTTCCACTGCTGCACCACCGTTTCACAACCAGGCAGGCAGGTTGGAGCCTTGGGAGCAGCATGCCGAGGCAGCCTTTCCGGATCTCGGTGACACTCGAAGTTATTGAGTTGGTAGTTTTGCAGTCTGGGGGTGCTCGGAGTCAGCAATTCAGCGTTTGTGTTCTCTGGATGTGTGTTTGCCCCTGATGTCAGCGGGCTGCTGGCCTGTCTGAGCACCGAGTGAAAGTTAATCTGGATGTCTGCAAACACGCGGCCGCTCCCGCCGTGATAAAAAGCCCGGCGGACAGAGCTGGAGGACAGCGGTGCTCAGTAGTCTGGCAACATACGCTAAAGGTCGATAGTGTCATGTGTGACCGATGAAACAGATTGACCCGTGGGGCTCTGGTACCTTGTCACCCTCCACGGTCCCAGCATCTGTCTGCAGCGTGTCACCCTTGGGGCCCAACATGGCTACTCAGGCTATTAACCTCCAGCACATGAGGACGTGGCAAAGTTAGGACCGCTGCGCTCGCCTCTCTGTCACAAATCCACTCTTTACTCTGCGAGTTGAGAGGATTCTCCAGCTCCGGTGTCCTTTACCACTTGTTAGTCGGCGGTCCGGACACCGTCAGGCTCAGGTGGAAGCTGCCACCCACCTGGATGGCTGCAGGGGAGACAAAGTGGGACCTTGAATCCAACAACTGTCACCGCTAACAATGTATGTCACCGTCTCCGAATGGGCCATAAAAACCAAATAAATGATGGCCATTACTGTGGAGATTGTGATTATGATAATGAGAATAATAAAGGCGATCATCATTACGATCATGATGATAATGATAATACTGTGATGATGAATTATAATGAATAAATCCCTAGCCCATTTCCTAAATGGTGGGAAATGTATCACAAAGAGAGGCCCGCAGCCATGCGACGGGCTGCGAGCGGGCTGAGGGTTATCGGTGTGCGCGAGTCATTTGAACCGTTTGTACTGCGGCTACAACCTCCTCCTCTTTTCACGGCTGTAACACTACAACATTGTGCCTATGTGTGTGACTTTCCAGCCGGTGTATAGTGTGCGCGCCACGCACAGAGAGCACTTCCCGGGAGACCTTGCAGTTTACATATCACATTCAAACAGCTTCTGTGCTCAATATCTGCCACTTCCACGCTCTGGTTTCTCACCTCTCCTCCCGCCTCTCTGGGTTCCGTTATTTGGACCCGCCTTCGTGAGTCACAGCCACTAAATCAGGGCTCATTCTTCCTATTGTTGGGTTTTATTCATTTGTTTGCTAAAACACACCGAGCCTGTCAGGAGGAAGAATAAAAACAGCCGTTGTTGCTTTATCAAATGCACACATCAGACTTGATCTTTTTCTGATGAGTGACCTCTTGTGGTCAAAACTGCAATTAGTTTCCTCTCTTACATGTGGAAACTGTGCAGCGCTGTTTCTGTATTTACACTTTAAATCCAGAGGAGTGCTTTCTGTTCATCACCCAGCTGTCAGTATCAATTTTCTTAGACATGTCCATAGTTTAGTTTTTTTCTTTGTATGTATACAAACACCCAACTATTGTGGTAAATTGATTTATCTGCCCAGTTCATGTGAGAGTAACTCCAGCATTTATCTTTTGGTACAGTTTTGATAAAAATAAATAATTGAATTCTGGCAACAATTGTGTATAGATTCAAATTAAATGGAAAACATATTTATGAAACTTTAAAATCAGATATTTCATCAGTTATCAGTGCAAAGACCTCTAAGTAAAAAAAAATGTATAAAAGAAAATATAAAATTTAAATGAACTCTTTGCATTTGTCATATACACATATGTAGATAAAGCCACCCCCCCCCCAAAAATAAAAAAAACCTGAAATATTGATTTAAATATGAGGAAAGATGAAAAAGTCTAGTTTTTGGCTTTTATTTACATTTTTGTTCAAATATATTTATTTATTTTTAATGTAACAATGTAACATGGTATCTTTTAATTGAGCAGATATCAGTTTAGAAATCTGACTTGAATGCAAAAAAAGTTGTGTGTGCGCGCGCGCGTGCGTGTGTGTGTGTGTGTGTGTGTGTGTGTGTGTTGCGAGAACAGAAGAACAATGGAAACAGTGTGGTCTGCTTAATGTCATTTATTCAGTGGTTAAAATAATTCTCTAAATTCTCTCCATTAAATGTAAAAATATATGTGCCACAATTGTAAATGTGCTTTCTATTTTGTATTACAGTGTCATGCACATTCATACCAAGGCTTATGTTACACAATCAACAATAAATAAATGGCAAAACGTTTATCAATACAAAGTATTAATTTTAACACACAGGATATGATGTAAATTACAGCAGGTTTTATTAGTGTTAGAAGAAAGTCAGATTAGATTTTATTTTAGTTTTTTTTACCAGTTTCTTGGATTTGACTTCATCTGTATTGTTTAGGTTTATAAATTACCTCTCCAAAAAGGCAAGAAAATGATCCTATATTTCAGGTTTAGCTGCTTTAATATAAAAGCCTAAAGGACAGAGAAAAATAACAAAGTTAGAAACACAAAAACCTTTCTCATAAGAGAGGATAAACCAAACGTTTGACCAATGAGCTTTTTGTCCAGAGAAAATAGGAGTGACTCAAAAATGAGGTCCATCTAAAGAGACGAGCCACCAGCCCGCTCTGTGAAATCCATCAGCGGTGTCATGCAGAGAAACAAGTGGAATTTGTCACTGACATCAGACGCGTCATTTATATAGAAATGTCAGCATCGCATTCGCATAATGATGGAAACAACAACGCTGAGGGCTCTGGGCCTCGCACTCTGATGGCTGTGTGCAAACGTCACCAATAATGTGTCTTTAGTCTAGACATGTCAGGGCTCTGTAGGATCTATATCCACGCCTTTTTGTCAGCGCCTTCAATCTTCCCTGTTGCTCAAGAGCTAAGTGCAAGAGATTAATAAGTGGATTTGTAATGCACAACCTCAGGTTTGACACGATAAGTCATCGGCTGTMTATCGCTTTGGCTTTCTTGCCTGATTGAAAAATGACAGAGGCTGAGTAAGTTAGTCAGCCATACCCCCCCTTACTGCAGGACCAGGAGGTACAGTACACTGTGGCAGCTAATGAGCAGCTTGTGTCTTCTCTGTGTTTGTTTCCCTCCGGCAGACAGATGACGTGACACAAACAGAGGGCTCTCAGCAGCTCCAGCTCCAGCACTCAGACTCTTCAGAGAAGCAGCAGCCAAAAAGGTTACATGTCTCCAACATTCCCTTTCGCTTTCGGGACCCAGACTTGAGGCAAATGTTTGGGGTGAGTATCGCCGAGGAACACCACTTATCCTCCACTTCCTTTAAACGCCCACAGATTCACATTTCCAACATTCTCCAAAAACCTCTTTCTAATGAAAGTTACAGTCGGCCACACCAACGTTTAGCATCAGAGGAAATGATTACAGCTTTATGGAACTGAGCCTTTAGCTTCAGAGAAAAAAACAATCTCACAGCAAAGGCAGCTTAGTTAATGAGTGAAGCCATTGCTGCAGCTGTCATCTAGTTAATGCATTGATTACTGCGTTGTCTGGGGAGGAAAGAGTGCCTTCGCAGTGTCTGCAGGTGATAAACAGCTCAATCAGTCACAATCAGCTGGTGAACTTAGCGCTGCGCTGCAGGTCACACACCAGGGAGGAGTTAGTTGAGCTATGAAACCTGCAGCTGATCATCTTTGACTTCAGTCCCACAGAGATCTGTCCCGTAAGATGTTAAACAACTTTCATTTCTTCTGCTTTAGCGGCTCACGTACAATATTGGTTTTCAAGTATAATACGTAAAATTCATTCCATAAAATTATCCATAAAGTTGGGGGGTAGTACTATACTCGGATAAATATTTTTACTTATTACATACATTTATTTTAACTGAAATATTGGCTTCATTCACAAAATGCCTGAGTCCGGAAATGAGACCACGATGTAAAAAGCAGTTGAAGCGAGCTCACCTCTGACACTCCTCCGTGCTTCAGAGTGAGATAATAACAGATCCAGGCAGGCAACATGATGTGAAAAAAATATATTTAAAAAAGTATTCCTGCAGCTCAGTAATGATAACACACTAATGACATTAGTGTGTGACCGAGCCGCTCCTCGAACAACAACAAACACGTTTGTRTGTAATGGCTGCCATCTACCGGTGTTCTGAAAAAGTTTGTATCCATGAAAAAAAGTTTCCCCACCAGAGGGGGCACTCGCAAGTAGGAAGTAATCTGCTTTTTCCCCACAAGATGGTCCAAATCTCGTGAAGTCTCTGACTTTTGTGTTGGC